CAGGCCTTACCCCCTTGGGCTTGCCCTCTATGGGAACCTTGCACCTGAAGCCAGCTTTGGCCACAGAATAAGGCTGCACCTAGACTCTGCAGCAGACATGTTCTTCTCTGCTCCTCATCAGCTGTGATGTGTTCTCAGGTGCTGCTGTCACTTCTGGGTGCTCCTAACTCTTGGCCCTTTGCTGGTGCCTGGATTCCTAGAGGCTCTCACAGATATGTTTACTAGTGAGTTGACAAAAAACATGTCTACCCTGCCAGGAAATCTCTCCTGAAGCCTCAGGTTGGGAGACTGCTGCTTTTCTGTACACCTTTCACAAGGTGCATGACATTAACTCAGACTTCTACATTAAATTGTATTTGTGTGTTTATGTCTCTGTCCTACCTCTCTAACTCTCAGTTGACTTTTCTTCAAGGTTGGGCTAATGTTTTATAGTTTTACTCTCACTCTCTGCCATGGTTTCTGGAATAGAATAGGTTAAATTTACATGTGTAATAATTTGAACCAAAGAGCATATATTAATCAAGACACTGTAAACCCTAAGGAAAATCATGTTAAATGATGGATTTAGAATTAGAATGTGAAATCTAAAGTTTTAAGCATGCCTTAATCTAATTAATACATATGTAAAAAATTGTCACTTAATACCCATTTTTAAGTGTTAATAATAAAGAGCCAAAGAATAATTCTTTGAATTAGCATGAGAGTTTAAAAAAAAAAAAGGCAAGTGTCCCATTGGTGTAGATTTTTAAGCAAAACATAGTTCTCAGGATCTCAGTCTTGAAATACTAAAGTTGCTAGTTGACTGACCACAACTACAGCAGGGCTCTGCCATGACTGCATGGAAGAGGGGCATTTTGACTATTCAATTACTGTGGCCGGCACCGGCAGGGCCAGTATTCATGTAAGAAATTCTTAAAAAGAAGCAAGACAGATAATCACCCTTGCATCATTCCATCATTATTATTCACAAAGCATTTTTCTTGCTTAAATTGTCTTGTGCCAACTCTTGTGGTTATTCCAAGAAAATCAGACATGAAGGCCTATGCACTTAGGAGGTTGTAATCAAGACCTTCAATGGACAACATAGGACAAACATAGGACAGAGTAGGTACTCAGGAAGTATATGCCAAATTAGTGAATTTGTAAATAAATTCATAAACTGAGTCCTTTACAGAGCAGGGCTGAGTATACCACTTGTGAAGAAGGACAGGAAAAAGATAGCCATATTTGAAAAGCACCCTTCTTTAACATAGGTACAGTTGCCAAAGGAACTTTTGCACCTAGGCCTGCTCAGTCTGAAGTTGTTAGTTTGTGGCAACAGGTTTAAAATGAAATTAACTAGCCACCCCTACCCTACCCCTTATCCCCTGCCGGCCATTGGCCTTTCTAGGCTTCATTTCCAGTTCTCCCAGATACTTTTTTGCCCCTTTCCCTAGATAGTCTCAAGGGACATTGGTACTCTCTGACCTCACATGTCTTAGCTCATTTTATTCTTTCCTCTGCTTATTCTCATCCTTCAAGGTCCAGAATAAAATGCTATCCATGCCATGAAGCTTTCTTTGCTTGCTCAGCCAAAAGTGAGCTCATCTTTACGCTATTTAAAACCTTTCAGGGCTTGACATAGACCTCTGTGCAATTCTTACCGTATAATGTCATCCATGGTCATGGCTTGTGAATGTTTATCTCAGGTACCAGAAGATAAGCTTCTTAAGGGTAGGGTCTCATACATTTCTTTGTATTGTCCAGAATGTTTTTTTGTTATTGTTCCAAGTAGAAATTTGGCCAATGTTTATAGAAAGAAATGGAGGAGGGAATGAAGAAAGGAAGAAAGGAAGGAAAGGAGGGAGGGAGGGAGGGAAAACATAATGGAATTCCAAATTGGGAAAAACCTTAGAGGTCACCTAATCTTTATATGAGTTCTCTTTATAACATCCTCAGATGTCTCATTGAAAATAATTTATGCATTTATTTATTTTCAAAATAGTTCGGCTTATATACAAATGATTTCTTTTCTCTTTTTGGGAAATTGGGGGAAATGACGAATGATATAGATAAAAAAGGATATTGAAATTTTGATGAAGTATAGAAATGTAAAATACTATTTTTATGGGGAGAAGAGAATAATAAAAATTATCATGAGGCAGTGAGCAATCATTTAACTTTACTGATTTATTTTTCCTGAAAGAGGCCACTATTAATCATTTCTTGCTATTCTGAGTATATATTTGTGCTGCTGCAGATTTCTGTGCTCTTCTTTGTCAGTTTGAGCCATTCCTTGGTGCGAAAGTGACAAGTAGTGATGGTGGGAAACTGACAGAATGAGGCGCAGGGATGAATCTTGCTCATTTTTCAGGATGGGGGTGGAGACATAGAAACTTCAAGTATTTCTTCCACCACTTCCAATCTGAAATGTGTGGTTGCCATATCTAAAACATATCTTGGACAAAATCTAATCTATAAGGAGTACCTTTTTATGCCTCTTCCCTAGCAAAAACGCCCCACATGTTTTAGGGCAGAATCACCCAAACATCCATGGTTCTCTACTCTAATCTTAAAAGACTTGGAGAATTTTCCCCCTGTCTTTATGTTTACTAGCTAGGCCAGCGAAAGAGAACTCCCTGGTGATCTATGGCTATTTGTGCATGGTGGCTGCATAGAATGTGTAGTGTTCTTGGGCAAGCAATCTTCTCCTGCTTGCTTTTTATTCTACTCCTTAATATTATCACTGTACCTCTTAGACTGTACTGCTCCAATTCTCCCATCTTTTCACTGGCTTTTGGGATAATTTTCTTATCCTAATGCAAAAATATGGTTCACTATCCAAGACCCACCTCTTTATGGCACATCTGAAAAAAGGAGGATGATTGTTAGTTGACTGGCAATCACTCCAAATATATTTACTTTAACAGTATATACAAGGTACTGTGTTTGACAATGAGAAAATATAATAGTAATTATTATACCATGGTAAATTTATATACACCTATTCCTGTATTGCTATCATGCAGGTACTGTTAATATTCATAATTTACAATTAAGGAAATTGAAGCTCAGAGAGATCAAGAACGTGGGTCAAGATTGTGCAACTCATGGGTGTTGGAGCCAGGTTTTGAAACAAGGCAGTCTGATTCCACATCAAATCCAAGCCTGTATTCTTAAACATAAAGCTGGCTGCCTTTATTCTGGCATATAAAGTAAACTTTTTATGGAGAGAACAATTTAGTTGGAAAGATGGGATACATAAACCAAAACATAACTAATAAAGTAAGATTGCATATTTAGAAGCTAACTAAAGGTGTAAAATAAATTGTATGTGTTGCTAGATCCCAGAGGAGAAAGAGAAAGAATATTGTGAGCTGAAGTGGTCAGAAGGAATTGGGATCTCATAGTTTTTGAAAAATGGAGAGATGAGTGACCGTGACAGCTGGGTAGGACTATGTAGCTCACAGTTTACCTTTATACCCTACATCTTGCCATTATCTGCTAGTTTCAAGGCTAGTGTGGTGGAGTCAACCCTACAGTGCAACCTCTAAGTTGCTTGATATTTTCAGATCCTATGATCTCCCCTTAAAGTAACCCCCACACAAGCTCTTAACCTGATCTTGCCTTGTCCAGCAGCCTCCTGTGCTTCAGCCACCTGGAATCTCATACTTGGGTACCTTTGGCAGTGCTGTTCTATTTCTATGTGGTGCTCTTCCTGACTTCTAGTTTGCCAACCTTCAGCTCAAACATCACCTCTCTGTTGAAATTTCTCTTTCTTCAAGCCTTTGCACTTCCCCATTCCTGCCACTGATTTGGTCAGTCTCCTTTTCTGTCCCTGTAGCATTTGTGTTTCTTACATCACACACTGCAATTCATAACATTTATGTCTTTACACTTCTGTTCCTTCTTTTACACTGGAAGCTCTTCAGGTCAGGTTCCTTATCTGTTGTTCTTCTTGTAGTCCCAGCACTTAGCAAAGTGCCTGGCACACAGAACGCATTTTCTGAATATTTATTGAATGGATGGATGGATGGAAGAAATAAAAGTATGTTTGGATGTGAGAGAGCAGTAATTGTGGTTTTGTAGGATGATAATAAAATTTATGTACCACTTAATAGTACAAAAAATGCTTGTACATGACTTTTCATTTCAGCTTCCCAATAGTTCTATCAGGGAGGTAATTTAGTCAAGGAAACTAAGATTCAAGAGGTAAGATCATAAAGCCAATTAGTGCTAAAGTTGGTTTTCTGAGTCCAGTCCTGAACTTTTCTGCAAAAGGAAGCCTCTAACACAGAAGTTTGACTGGGTTTTGGGGAATCTTCCCCATATGCCTATTATTTACACTAAACACATCTTTCAAAATGGCAATATTTTCACTGACTTTTAAGCCTATTATTTACACTAAACACATCTTTCAAAATGGCAATATTTTCACTGACTTTTAAGCCTATTATTTACACTAAACATATCTTTCAAAATGGCAATATTTTCACTGATATTCTTTTGCAGATACTGAGGAAGATTTTAGAGGAAGCCATGTGAAAACAAGACAGACTCTCATAGAGGAAATGTTAAAATGATGTAATTTATTTTTCTGTGCCAAGTTTCTCTCAAACCAGTGAGCAGGCTACACTTTCTAGGCTGGCCCAGGTATCCTGCTCAAAATCTTAAACCTGCTCTTGCCTTTGCTCCAGCTGGGCGCTGTGAGTGCTCTGCTGGAGCCCTGGCTGCATTTACAGACTGATAAGCCGGGAGAGGTGGTTAGCAGGGTCAGCAACTTATATCTTTTATTCTTCAAGCCACAGTTACAATGTCATTCTTAGCACAAAAATGAGTATGGAATAGGTTGGATTGTGTTTGACTGTGTAAGAAGCTATTTTTATAAAGTTACCTTATAATGTGCAAAATTAATGTAGAATCAAGCTTATTATAGAAATTGAGAAAACAAATAATTTTCTTTTTTCTTCTCTCTCTCTTTCTCTTTTTTCTTACCTCTCTCTTTTCCCCCTTTTCCTCAGATGGCTTCCTTTCATGTCTCAAGGAATAATTCATTCAGAAATTGAACTTTATCTTCAAGGTGAGAATTAGTGAAACCATCAGTAGAGGAAGTAAGATGATTTATCAACAATCTGGACGTCATGGAACTTGATTCCCCAGTTGCCCCAGAATGTCCCTGTGATAGTTTACCTTTTATGTTGGATTTATAGTTATTCCTAACAGTGAAATAAAAACATATTATAAATATGTTTCTTGGCATGTTGTTGCCCTCCTCCAAGTTAAAAGTCAGCCTAAGAATCTGGCACTGTTAAAGAGTTAAACTTGCATTTCTTTTTTCCCTTACTTTATATGTCATCAGATCTATTATTAACTGCATTCACTTTTATTTTTGCAGAAGGCAAATAAATCATCATCCCAAAATACAGGAGGAAGCAAATGGTAAATGTTGTTGCCACATTTCATCTTTTAATCATCTGAAATAATCTACTTCTGTTTCAAGATTACTGCCTTGCACATTTTATAGTACATTTTTACTGAGTTTAAGCTATTGATTGAAAATACTTAAAATGATTAGTGGAATAAGCATTAAATTAAGTGCAATTTATAGAGAAACTAACATTAGCAACTTTAGCAAAACCTTTTTTCTAATGTTTCCCATCAATAATTAAATATAGGGAAATAGTCATCTTTCAATGATTAATTATATTTATGATACTTTTTTATTCATTAATATTGGTTCTCAGGGTTTTTTTTTTTTCATTCTTTGTATTAACTTTTTATATATATCATCTTCAAATCGACCTGCAATTGTGTTTTTAATATTAATATGCTACACTTTAAAGTTGATCTGAATGAGATGGATAAATACAGATTACTAGTATACCTGGTTCACAAACCTCTATGTTTTCAAAAATTGGTGTACTTTGTGCAGTAATTTGAAACTAGGTGGTTAATGCCAACATTATTATATTCATAAAGTCCATTAATATCAGAACATGGTGGGGCATATGTGGGTAAGAAAGGGTAATGGTTTTAAACTGAATATTATAATTGAGGGTGAAAATGTTGAAAGCACTTTTTCAATAATATAAGCCATGTAATTAATGTAAGTGATACCAGACATAATGAAGTTGCATTATACAGGAGAGGGGTTTACCAAGGAGTTTGTTAGAGATATTTCATCAAGTGTAATTTTGATCAAAATAACCTACTTTAACATGCTTTCTCATAATTAATCATTTCTGCTGTCTTAGTTTATTTTATGGCCTCATTAGAATGTATATTTTTTATAGTACAAAAGTGGATCAGTCACAGACCTTAGTTTATGACAGTAATGTTTGTTATTTGTAAATGGTCCTCTTTTATTTCATTTTTAAATTCTGAAGAATGTGATCTTTAATATTTCTTGGGATATGATTCTGGAAATATATTACTCATCTCATAGTTATGGGAATGAGCTAATTTATGATGTGGAAAGAACTTTGAGGGATAAAGTGGTCTAATATGGTAAGGCAGTGTTACATTATGGTTAATAATATTGAAAATCAAACATGAGTATTAGATTTTGAAAGTATATGAAGTATGTTTATATAATTTATGCCATGGGAAAAAGGTAGATCAATACTGCAGTGAGAAGAAAGTAGACAAAAATGTTTTTTCAATTTAAAGGTTGAAAAGGAAAAGGAAGGAATCAACTAAGATAATTTTAAGTTCATTTTGAGTTGATTAACACTAAGTATAACTATGTACCATTCCTAACTCCTAGTCATGTTTCATTCCCACAATTATATAAGACATCTTTTCTAAACCTCAACACCTTATAAGCCACATCACTAAGTTATAAAACTAGCCACATCACTAAGTTAGAACTTGGTTCTGAGAAAATATGTTTAATATACATTGCTGAATTGAATTGCCTAATTATTATCAGTGTCTTTTTGCATATTGCTCATATAGCTAGACGCTATGCTAAGCCCTCTCATTAATTCTACTAAATTTATATTAATTCTATAATAACAAATTTAAATTCTAATTTTTCCAAAATACTTTTTGAATGATTTGTGAAGATGGCCATATCATATGTGAATAATGACACTTTTTTCTTGTCTCAATATGCCATCTGGCTCACTGGTCAATGTGGAATAGAAGCAATAATAACATTAATAGGGAATGCATATAGTGTTTATTGTGTAGCTTGAATGTTTTTTAGATAGATCAATTTATTTAATCCTGACAATAACCCTGTGAGGTAGGTGCTATCATTCTTCCACTTTACAGGTGATGAAAATAAAGGACATAGAAGTTTTTTTTAACTTGCCTAAAGTCACACAGGTAGCAAAGAACATTTGAATGCAAGTGGTTTGACTCCAGAGTCTTTACTGTTTTTGCTTTAAAGGAACTGCTTTTAAATGACCCCAGGCATTAACAATGTGTATGAGAGAGTATTTATCATCGGTGCCTTTGGATTTATTTTTTGTGTTATTTTTCTAACTTATTAGGCTAGATTTTTAGATCTTAAGCTTTCAGCCTTGTTTCAGACTCAAATGAAAGGATGTTTTTAATTGTCAGGGAAATTATTATTGTTATTATTATTTTTCATATTAATCTTTTTTTTACCCAGAACCTTTGTAGGGACAGATTGGGTGTAGATAAGATGCCTTTGATGCCATTTATTGGGGGCCCAACCTTTCACTAAGGCTTACTGTGGCTTACTTCAAAAGTCTCAAGTCTGGCTTCCTCTCTCTTGTGGGCCGTAGGCCCCCTTCCCCCTGGCCTGGACCCTTGGCATTTACCACAAGCACAATTCCAGTCCGCTTGTTTGCTGAGTGCTCACCACTCAGTTTCTGCTAATGGTCCTTTTTTATTATTATATTATTATTATTAGGCAGTGGGGGAGGTTTTTTTACTTTCTTGGGAGTGGAATAATATACCAAAAAGCTTGAAATTTTTCTTTAATTTATCCAGAATCTACTTGCGTTATAGTGAGAGGGCTTCAAAAATACTATCCTAGGAAACTGTGGCTCAGAGTATAAAAATCTTGTCCTCAGTTAGTAAGTGAAAGAACTGATATTAGAATTTAGCTCTTAACCGTTATATAAAATTCCTTTATTTTAAATGACTCAGCTTTTTGCTTGCTCTCAAGGATTTCTGACTTGGAGGATTTAAAAATTCTGAGAGCATTTACCCATTTATTTATAATGAATGCCAACTTTTTGTAGTTATTAGCAATTTGGTGGATTATCTGTGGTAAAGATTGTTAAAATATTTTCTCTGTTCTCTCGATTTTATTTGTCCATATATGCTTGGCTGGCCTCACTACCCAAATAGCGTCTACTGAAGGAAAGAAAATTAAATTTAACAATTAGTCTCAGCTAAACATGATTAAGAACATAAAGTATTCTGTAGCATCATCATGCATGCCAAATCAAATGTAGATTGAATTGCCCCTGCTCTGATCACTTTGGGTACAATTTTCTGTAGTGATATGGGTAATGATAAGAGGATGGTCTGTCCTCCTGTGTTGGAGCCTTATGTCTATTATGTCAGTCTCATTTCCTGCATAAGAAGGTGCAGTATGGCACCCGGGAGCCTGGGTAGGCCTGAGGGGTCAGTGTCTCAGATGAGTGTTCACCATATGTGAAGGCTGAGGGGCCAGAGAAACCATCTTTAGGATTGCCTTGTCAGCGTCAGCATGCAGAGCCTGAAACAAGGTTCACAAACTCCAGCGTGGCTAGCGGGGAAAAGAGAAGTCAACTTGTGAACAAAGAAGTCAAACTTTGGAATCAAAAGGGGAGAAGATAAGCCTGGGAGAATATGAGCCCAGAAGAACTATCAGCAGAGGCCAGATGTTTGCTGTGACTTACTATTTGGTACCTAAAACTGTTGACATGAGTGTGCCAGGAAGAGTTGAGTGAGCAAACAGGGAAACATTGCAGGGCTTCCTGTGCCCTGGCTTGGCTTCAACTTCATTTGCTCCCAACATTAAATAGCTAGTGTTTGGGTACTACATTGATGCTAGAACATTGGTTCACACCTTTTTCTGTCCAAGACAGAATACCCATAATTCAACATACCACACTAGTCACGCAAGAGAGCCTTCTTGGAAAGAGGTCCTCCTGGCCACAGTTGAACTGCTCCAGTTGACTGTGAAGCAGAGATAATCCTCTTCCAAGCCTGGTCCAATGGAAAAAGCAAGTATTGTTGTTTTTAGTTATTAGCTTTTAGAATGGTTTGTAATACAGCAATAGATAACAATAGCTATAGCATTGGCAATGGATTGTTCATGTAGACCTGTATAAAAAGGTCGAGACTTAGATTCTAAATATATCGAGGGTCATGAGTTGCTATCCTAATGACCAGCACCCAGTGATGTGGGTCTGAAAGTAGGTTTGAACCTAGCAGATTGTGTAGGAGGTTGGGCACAAAGTATTTGAGAATTGTTATCAAATACAGTTGGACCTCCATATCTGTAGGTCCCACATCCCTGGATTCAACCAAACGTGGATCGAAAATACTTGGGAAAAAAAACAACAAAAAATAACAGTATAATAACACAAAAACTAATATAGTACAACTATTTATATAGCATTAATATTGAATTAAGTATTATAAGTAATCTAGAGAAGATTTAAAGTATTGGGAGGGCTGGGCATGGTGGCTTATGCCTATAATCCCAGGACTTTTCAAGGCCAGAAGTTTAAGATCAGCCTGGCAATATACTGAGACTGTGTCTTTACCAAAAAAAAAAAAAAAAAAAAAAACAAACCAAAATAAATTTAGCTAGACATGGTGGTGCATGCCTGCAGTCCTAGCTACTCAGGAAGTTGAGATGGGAAGATCACCTGAGTCCTGGCATTCAAGATTGTAGTGAGTTCTGAGTGTACCACTGCACTACAGCCTGGAAAACATAGCAGGACCCTATCAAGAAAAGAAAATGGAAGAGGAGAAGAGAAGTGAAGAGAAAGAAAGGGGAGTGGAGGGAAAGGGAATATAAGGGAGAAGAAGTGAAGAGAAGGAAAGGAGGTGGAGGGAGAATGTAAGGGAAAAGAGAAGAGAATAGAAAGAAAAGGAAAAGGAAAGAAAAGAAAAAAGGAAAGGAAAGAAATAA